AGCAGAAAATGATCCATTGGAAAAGTGGTTGTGTTTTCTGTATTGCAATGAGAATCAGGAAAGTTGCTTGATTGCAGACCAGAATCCACCATCACTCCTTAGTAACCATCAGAACACCCAAATAATAGAATAGTGGAATTATCTGTTAGTTCACGTTGGCAAAAAGATAAGGGAAAGGATGCACCAAGCCCAAAACAGAATGCTATGATAAAAGCAGATGCCAGAGAATCCCAGGAGCGCTCTGCTCCCTCTCCAGGACGGCATCTGTTCCTTACAGCATGGCCATTCCTTACGGCTGAATACTTTCCTGCCCTTGGCATTAGTAGATTGGGGGCTGGTGGGTTGCTGTTGCAGGAAGCACTCCAGTTCCTCATAGATTTCTCCATTCCTGATCATTTGAGTAGAGACTGACTTAGAAGAGTAGCAATGAGATTAAACCTTTTCTTGGCTGTGAAAGCGTTCTTCTGCTTCTTCTCAGCCATGTGGAGATCATTCCCCCGTGGTGCCCTCCGCTTCCCCTTCCCTCCCCTCCCCTCCCCTTCCTCCTTTCATCTCCTCTCCTCTCTCTTTTCCTTTCCCTTCCTCTCCCCCTCCTTACCCACTTCCCCTGTCCTTCCCCCTCCCTTTCTTACTTCTTCTGTTTCCCAAATGCTGGAATGGTAGGCTTGGATCGCCATGGCTGGGTAACTACACAGGAGCACACCAAGGTCTCACAAAACCTAAAGTAACTCCTTCCAGTGGCAGTGCCCGCATGACGTAATCTCCTAATGTCATCACACCGAAAGTCAAGCTTCCGTCACATCTGTTCTTTTGTCATGAAATCCGCAGCATGATGGTCCCCCAGGGCACTCAGCCTGGCTATAAAGTCTGACAGTCCCCAAATTCCTGACACAGTTTCCTGCTGTCTCTCCCCCAACACAAGATCACTAATGTTCCATGACTCTTCCAGTCTCTCCTGGTGTTCTCAGTGTGCAAGGATGTTTGCTTAGCACACACTGCTAGCCTGAGTGTCATGGAGGAAGGCAATGCCTGCTTCTGGTGACAAATGAAGCAGCTGCCACTTACCGGTGCGTCAGAGACTGCTGCTGTCACTGTGCTCACCATCAGTGCCCAACCCCCACTGTGCTTACACTGCTACATCAATTTCCCTCGAGTCCTGGCATCCAGAGCCAGTGCACTCTGTGCGATGGTGCCCTGGGGAAGAACACACTGCTTTATATAATGAGTATGATTTTTTGTGTGATATAGAAACAGAATTTTTAGTTTCTGGTTTGAGGTCAAGGAAACGGGCCTGTTGAGGTAATGGGAAGCGTTTGTGGACAGGATGTGCTCCCTGAGAGGGGCTCCTGAGGCTTGAGTTCCCATGCAACCACACTGTCCCTGGGAACACACTAACAGCAGCAGGCCTATCATCGCAACCATATAGACAGCATTGTCCAAATACAAGTAGTTAATGTTGTAAAGCTAGAAGTCTGTGTGCAACAGAGTCCATCATTTACGATTTCCTTTTAACTTTTAATTCAGAAACGAAGATATATCTGCATGTGGGCATCTAACCAAACATAGTCCCATACACTCTCAAGGGTGAGGTAGTGAAATGGGCAAGGATTGAGAAAAAGCACAAACCATTCAGACAGCAGTCGTGGGCGCCGCACAATTGCATGTTCTCAAGGAGCACTGAATGGCTCCCCTGTAGGCATCTTGAGTCTGGCCTAGGAGGTAGGAGACTTCTTCAAAGGCAGACATGTCAGTCCTACATGTCGTTTAAGATGCCCTGGTAGAGTCTAGCATGTGGTATATTGTCAGCAAATGCTTGTTAGGTGAATGAAGAAAAGCATGCACACACACTTACAGCGGAGAGTTAGAAACTGGCACCAGCACAAGCTTGGATTTGCCCTCCTGAGGTCCCTGACCTGGCCATGGAAGGCTTGGGCCTGATCCCTCTCCCTTGATTTAAAAACATCAAAGAGCATTTTTAAAAAAGAGCTCCCTTTCTTCCTTCCTCCCTTCCTCCCTTCCTCCTCCCCCTCTCTCTCTCTCTTTCTTTCTATTTCTTTATTTCTTTTGTTCATTTGTTTTTTGTTTTTTTTTCAAGACAAGGTTTCTCTGTAGCTTTGAAGCCTGTCCTGGACCTAGCTCTTGTAGACCAGGCTGGCTTTGAACTCACAGAGATCCGCCTGCCTCTGCGTCCCGAGTGCTGGGATTACATAGGATCAAACTGTGGGTGACAATTGTATGACTGGGACAGACTGAAGGGCTACTGGCAGTGGCACCAAGATTTATCCCTCCTGCTTGTACTGACTTTTTGGAACCCATTCTCTTTGGATGAATACTTTGCTCAGCCTAGATATATTGGGGAGGGCCTTGGACCTTCCTCAAAACAATGTGCCTTACCCCCCCTAAGGAATCAGTGGGGACAGGGTCCGGAGAAGTTGGAAGGAGTGGGAGGAGGGGAGGCAGTGGCAACTGGGATTGGCATGAAAATGAAAAAAGAGAGTTTGTTTTCTTTTTTAAAAAATAAAATTAAAAAAAAGGAATTCCAAAATAAGAAATTAAAGACTGCACTAAAACCACAGAAAGTAAAAACTATATTTAAAAATAGTGTTAAAAATTAAAATTCAAAAGCAATTAGATCAGTAAACTTCTAAAACAAAACAAAACAAAAAATACCAAAGAGAGAGAAAGGCAAAGATATTACTGGAAACATGGAAGGCTTTGATTTGGGCCCAGCAGGTGACTTGCTCCTGATTCTGGAATGGGTCCCCTGCACTCCCCCACACACTCACACTCACCACACACTCACACTCACACTGGGATGGGTCCTCTGCACACCTCACACATTCACACTGGGATGGGTCCCCTGCACGCCCCACACACTCACACAACTTTAAAGCATAATTTCTCCAGCACTTGACCAGTGTTCTTGATTTACTTCCTCTTATCTGGCAGGTTTGGCAAGGGGACCTATGTGCACAGAGTCAGAAGCACACCTACAGCCAGGCTGAGGTTTACATGCACCTCATTTGGTGTCAGGGTGGCCCTTTTTTTCAAGCCTCTTCTGTCTTGATCCCACCTTTCTAAACCCTTCCTTTTGTGATTTAAAAAATGCTGGCATGCCCCAGGCAGCAGCTGTAGGCAGGCAGCAGACTCTAGTCCCAAGGCAGAGAAGACTGTGGGGGCCATGTGAGCAGGCGGGCAGGAGACAGAGACTGGATAGACACCACATGTAGAATGAGATTGAAATATTTATTCAGGGGGTTACGAAGGGGAAGGGGAAAGGGAGGGCAAGGAGAGAGAGAGGGAGAGAGAGACAGAGAGACAGAGAGAGACAGAGAACGAGAGAGAGAGAGGGAGAGAGAGAGAGAGAGAGAGAGAGAGAGAGAGAGAGAGAGAGAGAGGGAAACGGGAAAATGTGCTCAACCCCAAGAGGAGAACAGTAAGAGAGTATGATCCACAATGGCAGGGAGAGGTCAGGGGTCGCCGGGAGTGGGCATGGCTTGCCCCTTAAAGGGCCCAAAGAATAACATTTCCCACCTTCCAAGTCCCAATCCAGCCTGAGAACTTGTTATGCTCCCAAAGTTCTACTTCTCTGATGACGTCATTGAGCTCATTTTATCTGCTAATACCATTTTTCTAGGGCAGGAGCCATGTTTTCTGTTGTTTCCAACATTTCCCAGCAACCCCAGGAATGTGGTTCTTTCTTTTTGATGTTATAACAATAAACAAACAAACAAACAAACTCGTAATTTGAACTCTGTAAGTAGGGCCAAGATATTTCTGGAATCTATGGCTTGGATTATTGCATAAATGTCAACAGCAGGAGGAGGGCCCAGGAAATACCCAAATATCTCACACTACCATCCCACCAGCGGAATCTATCTCTCGTTAGCTCCCAGGATCCACCAGTTCACGTTATCTGCTTACTCACAAACTCATGTCTAGATGCATGCCTGCCTGTCCACATAAAGATTATGTGCGTATAATTACATTTGCATGTATGCACACGTACAGTTACACACACGTAATTTGAAGTGCAAACCCTCAGAGAAGAGAGCAGCTCAGCTAGACCTTATGTTTGAGAGAGTAGATCACAGCGAGGAACACATACGCTTTGGAGAGGATTACGTCTAGACCAGTCAAGAGCCAAAGACCCGACCCTGGGAGAGCCGAACCAATGGCTACTTTGTCAGGACCCTGAGTCACCAGGTGCTGGGGTGATTGATTAGAGTAGCACAATGGGGCAGTAGTGGGTTTTTGTGTATGGAGATTTTGCTGTCATTAGATAAAGTCTCGCTGCAGGGACCGTGGGAACGCTTACTGATACGTCATACTGTTAGACTCCAGGATCCTCTCCCCAGGTCTTGGCTCCTTCCAGCTGTACAGAAATCTTTTGATCAGAACTTTAGGCCTAGGGTTTATATGTCTACTTCATTAGTCCTTGAGGACTGAGATTTTTTCCCACCTGCTTGGAAGGGCAGGGTGCACACGGTACTGGAATTCCTTGACAGTCCTGATGACACTACCTCGTTCCAAGGCTTTCCCCAGTCCTGAACCAAAGAGTGAGGGTTTACTGTGGACCATTTGGAAATGAAGACTGTGTTATTTGTCCACACCAGGAAAGCATCCACAGACAAAGCTTCTTGTTTCACCCTCTCTGGACATTAGGTTTCTCAGATGCAACACAGAGCAAATGTCTGAATACATCAGAGACTTCTCAGAACCCTTGCCAGTCAGTCTGAGGCCCCTGGGGGCTATTCCAGGGGGGCAGGTTGGCTCTAAAGCGCCACATCTGCATATTTAAATTCAATGGTTTTTCTGATAAGCTAAATAAAAATTGAGTGGTGCCCTTCTTTTCTGTCATGTGTTTACTTTAAGCCTTCTTACAGTTTGCAAAAAAAAAAAAAAAAAAAAAAGAGGAAAAAGGAGGAGGAAGGGGGGTTGGTTTGTGTCCCCCTGTAAATGTGCAGACAGGAGCAGACAACATGTGTTTTGTTTTCCAGGGAGATGTGTATCCAGCAGGATGGGAGAGTTCATCTCACCGTTGTTTACTTTGGGAAAGAAGAAATGAATGAAGTCAAAGGAATACTTGAAAACACTTCCAAGTAAGTACTGTCTGTTTAGTGTTCCGTTCCTTAACATGGGATACCCGGGAAAGTTCAATGTTGGCTGCGCAGAGAAGAATTGAGAACCCTCCCCTCCCCAGGAGACCACCCTGTCTGGCACTGCTTGTGTCTGGGTGATGACTTTGACAGTAGACATAAACTGCCCTGCTCAGCAGAGGTGTGGAGCATGGGCTTCTGGGAGCTCATGCATAACTGAAGGCGATCTCTCAGAACCACAACTGCAGGGCTCTCATGTGTGCAGAGTGAGATTTGTGCCGTGAGCTCCAACTCAGCCACTGCTCGGTAGTCTGAGAGTAATACTCAGGCTCAAATCCTATCCGTGGAGCAAATGTACTTACCCTTTCATCCATCATTCATTTAACAACATCAGGGGACACCCAGAAGGGGTGGCCGAAGCAGGCTCCTTGATTAAACCCATCCAGTTGAACAGAAATGACTTAATCCAAACCTTTCGGCCTGGGGCTCTCTGTCTATAACTCATTGATCAGCTGCAGAGTGTAGAGGGGTCTTCAGAAGCAGCAAGGATGGATTCCTTTTTTTTCCCCTCTAAGATAAATAAGCCGTGGCACCCTGCGTAACTGCGGAGGCCAGCGTGGTACTGTCGAGCTCCACATTTGGTCGTCACAGCAGTGTGCAGACGCGCTGGGAAGCCAGGTAGATAGCTTTGATATATGTGAAGCTTTGGCAGCTTTAATAGCGCTCCGTGGCGGCACGAGTCTGAACAGGCCCGCATGGTTTAGATATAAACAGGACTGTCTGTTTTGAGTTTCTGGGAAGTGGTAATTGGATGGCAGTTGCAGGATCAGCTTCTGAGATGGAGAACGCTCTCTGCGTCGCTCCGTGCTGTTACCAGATTTGTGTTAATGGGCACAATTAAAATTTCAAACATCCTGAAGGCAAAGGTCATCAGCTGTTGTTCTCCGACCACATACCCACCACATCTGTTTTCATAAATAAAGTTTAATTGGATGCAAGAAGGTCTGTTGATTTACACGGTACTTACGGCTGGAAAATTCACAAAGCCTAACCAGTTTTATAAAGGAATGGGAGTTAGAAGTGGCGAAGACCTGTGTGTGTGGATCATCAGATGGAAGAAAATAATTGTTTACCCTAAAAGTAATTGAAATAGAACTCTCTCGGGTCTAATGCATTCACATGCCTTTCCCCTCGCTCAGCAGTGGAGAGCACAGATGGTCAGGACTCATGTTCTCTGCCCAATGGGTAGGTGTAAGCATCTTTGCTAATATCCATTCCTAGACAAAATCATTTCTAAAGTCTTCCAGCCGCCTCAAACCAGCAATCAGGATAGAAATGTTTTGTGAGAAAAAGTGGTGGCAAGCCCGAAGGGGCTGCACCCTGAGCTGCAGGCAACTGCGCTATTCCAACAAAGTGTCTGTGACTTCAGTGTGAAAACAGAATTGGCAAATTTATCCTATTGGGTTTGGCACTTTTTTCATGTCTCAAAGGATGTTGGGACATTGGCTGATGGTTATGTAGATTCGGGTTTATGGAAACAGCAGGCTAGTTTAAACATGCTATAGGAAATCTTCTCTCTAAGGACTGGAAGGCTTTTGTACTCTTATCAAGTAAGTCTTCCCGGGTTACTCCACGTCATAAGCATGGGATGCCATAGACATTGACTAATACGTTTGTGTATTTCTACAATGTTCAAATTTATTCAAAAGCAGTAAATTCATATAATGTAATGATTTTAAGATTTATTTTTACAGTATATGTGCATATTTGCCTGCATATATTTATGTGTATTTTGTGGCGCTCAGAGGTCAGAGATGGTGTCAGATCCTCTGGAACAGGAGCTACAGCATTTGTAAGGAACCATACGAGTGCTAGGAATTGAACCTGGGTATTCTGCAAGAGCAGAAAGTGGTTCTTAACCATTGAGCCCTCTCTCCACCCCATGGTATCTATTGTTCTAATAGTATCAATTAGTCAGATAATCTAGTCTACCTTGGTAATCTGACTGAGGTAAATATATGTTCCTTTATTTTAATCTTAACTTCTAATATGAACTTTTAACGTCACAGTATGGCATGCAGTAAATCAATTTATATGCATATATAGTGGTTACAAAATGAATACGAGAGGAAACACAGACTTTAAGAGGTTTTAGAAGTAGCCGAGAAATATGTAAGTAGAGTCTTATATGCCCAAGACAAAAGAACACAGTACATAAAGATATGATGTTGGAGGTAGGTGGTGAGAGAGTTAAGTTTGAGAGTGAGAATGTAGTCAGCTGTGGAGGCAAGAGGGTAGAATTGCTCTGAGCAAGAAATGGTAGGTTCAAGTCTAGGCAGGAAGGAAGTAGATGAGTAGGCAGTCAAGTAGGCGACATCAACAGCCATAGACAGAGCCAATCTAAAGACCTCGAAACACAAGTTTGTTCATCAAAGGAAAGATAGTACCAAGTAATTATTGGATTTGGATTTAGGATAATACACACACACACACACACACACACACACACACAGACGCTTCTGCCTGTGGCTTTCCTTTAATATCTTCACTGTTCTTGTATGGTGGTAATAATATTTGTTCAATGATATTTTATTTTCAATTATTATTTTTATGAATGATCTCATTGAATATTTATAGCAACTTTTGGTGCATGCTTGTATGTGTGATGTGCATATGTGTATGCATACATATGTGGACCCCTGAGGTGGACATTGGACATCTTCTCCAGTTGCTCTTTACCTTATACATAGATGGATATCTGTCACCAAACTTAGGGCTAGAAGTTTCCAAAAGTCTGCTTAGCTGTTTGTTCCTGGGATTCCGTGTCTGCTTCCCACTTGTGGGACTACAGATAGGCTAACGCAGGGCATCTGAGACTCTGCACTGTGGTCCCCATGCTTACGCAGCAAGGCAGCAAGCGCTTTACCAGCTAAGTCATGTCCCTAGGCCCTTTGACCCTTTGACCCTTTGTTTCTGACTTCTTGAGATAGGTATTGTTATCGGTCCTGTTTCATAGATGAAGAAACTACGGCTCAAAGAGATTGTCCCTGAGGCCTTCACTCCAGCCACAGGAGAGAGCCGAGTGCCCCCCGTGCCCTCCTAAGATCCATAATTGTTAGTTGAAGCTAATGAGATTTGTAATCAGGCTAAATGATATTCACTTCATTTGGAGATCAGTATTGTAATTAAAGTGTTCTAAATCCAGCTAAATGCAAACAGTTTAAGGATATCTAAAAATACGGCCTTGTTTAATGACGAGTTTGCAGTATTTTATGTTCTCTTTCTCTGAGTTTGTACTTCCTCAATTGAGCTTTGTGCTTCAGCTGATTGCTACAGATTGGTGCTTTGCAAACTCTGTTGTGATTCATTAGAGGACTTCAAAATCGATTCAGTGGGCTTAGCCCAGTGCTTTTGGAAATGGAATAGAGTAGGGTGCAAATTTTCCGAGTGAATCACGGGTAATAAGGCAGTAGATGGTTTCCTGAAACACTCGTTTCATTCCACATGCCTGCGTGCATGCGTATGAACTCGTCCTGCGAGATGCAGGCAGTTGTTCCTTTGTAAAGATTGTGGTTAAAATGTTTACAGGTCACTGTGACAGAAAACGACACAAATTACTTCCAAGTACCTGATCCTTGATCTACATATTTTCCCAGGATTCATCTGTTCTCAAATAAAAACTTAACTCAGGAGCTCTCAAACAGGCCTGAGCTTTGGTTAACCTTGGATGCTTCTTTCCGTGCAGGATTCTTGAACCCAGCCCCAGGTACTGAGTTGGCAACTCATCAGGCTTCAGTTGCAGCCTGAGAACCAGGGCTTCACAGTTTCCCTGTGCATTGCTGGGTCTGGTCATGGCTCACCCTGAGAAGCACCAGTCTGAGGAGCCATTTGATTGGAACTGTATAAGAGGATATTTAGAAAATTGTAACTTGTAGTTGAATTATCATGCATTGGCAAGCTCATCTTTGTCTGATCATGGGGACACAAGGGCATCTTTTGGGAGGAGCCATCTCTGAGAATTGAGGCATTAGCAATGAGACACTGAGGATGGGGCACTAGCTCCTTGGGTATGTAAGGTACCTGCTGCCCAAACCAGAGTTTGAATCTCCAGCACTCATGCAAACCCTGGGTGTAATCATGTGTGTCTATAACCTGGAACTGGAAGGGGACCGAAGACAGGAAGATCTCCAGAGCTTATTGGACAGCTTATTTAGTCAATCAGTGAGCACTAACCTTAACGAGAGATCCTGTTTCAAAAGATAAGATGGACACCAATTGTGAAAAACACCTGATGTTGACTCCTGGCCTCCATGAACATACTCACACACATGTACATTCAATCAAATACACCTGTACACACAAAAACATGCATATACATATATGATGCATGGATGTATACATACATACATTCTCTCTCTCTCTCTTTCTCTCTCTCTCTCTCTCTCTCTCTCTCTCTCTCACACACACACACACACACACACACACACACACACACACACACACACCAATAGACCGATCTACCCCATGTGGGTGAGGAGAGAGGCGGTGTAGCGGTGGTACTGCCGTCGTGGGCCTGCTTTACCACCATGTGTGTCAGCCTATCGTGCCTCTTTGAAATCATTTCACGGATGTTTCATTCAGATAACCGAGGGGAGAATTTGTGTGCATATCAGGTAAGGAGAACTACATGCAAATCCCTGCCCTCTAGGATGGCTATTAGCCCAAAGTCAGACATCACAAATGCAATTGGTATATGAAAAAAGAAAGAGTTCAATGGGTCTCTAAATAGTTCAGTACAGTATTATCACCTAAACTAGAAATTTCATTCCCATGTAAATCCGAAAATAATTGAAAATCAGCATTTAAACAACTGTGTGCAAACATTCAGTGACATTATGACCAATTTAGAAAATAAAGACACCCCAAATGTCAATTTGGTGTTGATCTTTTATCCAGTCAGTTCACTAAAGGTGTTTATTAGCTGTTGGAGTTCCCTGGTAGAA